TAATCTTTATACTTCCAGGGCCCTATGAGTCTATATAATCTTCAGCCTTCCAGGCCCCTTTGAGTCTATATACTCTTCAGACTTCCAGTCCCCTATGAGTCTATATAATTTTCAGACTGCCAGGCCCATATGAGTCTATATAATCCTCAGACTTCCACGGCCCTATATGTCCAGGGTTCTCCCCAGGCCATTTAGCTGATACGGCTCCGTATCAGCTTCAGTTTGAAATCCTCCCTGTCGTATCAGCTTAATTGACCCGTATCACCTTAAACTGTGAACCGTATCACCTTGTTATTTGTACTGAACAGAAGGTGGTCTTTTACACAAGAAATTGACACTGATTAAATCACACGGCTGACCCAAGTCCATCAATGACCCCACTGGTCAGATGCACGAGAAGCGTATTGCCATAGGGGGCCTGTAATTAGTGAGGAGGGGGACCGGACGACAAGCCCACAGGTGTCCGGCAAGCGTGCTCACTGGAGCCTAAAGCAATTACCACCGGATCCTTTTAGCATGGTCAATAGGTGATTAATTGAGGTACCTACTGTTGGATTAACAAAACAAACACTTATTACATCTATTATAAATTAATTTACTCACATATGATTGCAATTGACAACGCTGAAATAGCGTGTGTTTCAGTTAGTGATGGTCGCCATCTTGGATTGTGTAAAGTACAAACCGGAAAGGGGAATGAAATTCCGGATTTGTCGTTTTTAATGAAGAAGAGCTCAAATAAAAATGCTGTTTTAATCTTTGATCACATTTACTGACAGCAGTATTTAATATAATTTTAGAGGAAATTAAAACACTGTACATTTTATTAAAACATTTTCTCTTACAATAATAACAACTATGATATAAACTTGTTCATGTAAGTGTTTCCCCCTATAGCTTTTAAATATTTCTTTAAATTATTTTTAATGGGGATTAAGTAAGGGATACAAATGTAAAGATAAGAGACAAATATCACAAATGTCATATCTATTATTCAATGTACAAAACTCATCCACCTTTCTATAAATTGTATTTTTTTTTCAGAATATATTGCTGAAAATTCAGACATAAGAAACACTTATTTATTTCCTTGGTTTTAATGTTCACCAAAAGAAGTTTGGTAAATAAAAGTAACTTTTTAAACATTATATTACACCCCCCACCCCCCTTAGGTTTGATAAGGTATTATAAGGTATTATATTAGCGTGTCCGTCTTGAATGTTTGTTGCAAATGAAACATATCAGCTTAAAAAAATTCTGGGGAGAACCCTGATGTCTATATAATCTTCAGACTTTCAGGTCCTTATTAGTCTATATAATCTTCAGACTTCTATGGCCCTATGAGTCTATATAATCTTCAGACTTTCAGGTCCCTATGAGTCTATATAATCTTCAGACTTCCATGGCCCTATAAGTCTATATAATCTTCAGACTTTCAGGTCTCTATGAGTCTATATAATCTTCAGACTTCCAGGCCCATATGAGTCTATATAATCCTCAGACTTCCATGGCCCTATGAGTCTTTATAATCTTTATACTTTCAGGGCCCTATGAGTCTATACAATCTTCAGACTTCCAGGGCCCTATGAGTCTATATAATCTTAAGACTTCCATGGCCCTATGAGTCTATATAATCTTCAGACTTCCAGTTCCCTATGAGTCTATATAATCTTCATACTTCCATGGCCCTATGAGTCTTTATAATCTTTATACTTTCAGGGCCCTATGAGTCTATATAATCTTCAGCCTTCCAGGCCCCTTTGAGTCTATATACTCTTCAGACTTCCAGTCCCCTATGAGTCTATATAATTTTCAGACTGCCAGGCCCATATGAGTCTATATAATCCTCAGACTTCCAGGCCCATATGAGTCTATATAATCTTCAGACTTCCATGGCCCTATGAGTCTATATAATCTTCAGACTTCCAGGCCCATATGAGTCTATATAATCCTCAGACTTCCATGGCCCCTATGAGACTATATAATCCTCAGACTTCCAGCCCCCTATGAGTCTATATGATCCTCAGACTTCCAGGCCCCTATGGGTCTATATAATCTTCAGACTTCCAGGCCCTATGCGTCTATATAATCTTCAGACTTCCAGGCCCTCTGAGTCTATATAATCTTCAGACTTCCATGCCCTATGAGTCTATTTAATCTTCAGACTTCCACGCCCTATGAGTCTATATGAGTCTATATAATCTTCAGACTTGCATGACCCTATGATTATATATAACCTACAGACTTCCAGGCCCCTATGAGTCTCTATAATCTTCAGACTTCCAGGCCCTATGGGTCTTTATAATCTTCAGACTTCCATGACCCTATGATTATATATAACCTACAGACTTCCAGGCCCCTATGAGTCTCTATAATCTTCAGACTTCCAGGCCCTATAAGTCTATGTAATCTTCAGCCTTCCAGGGCCCTATGAGTCTATATAATCTTCACACTTCCAGGCCCTATGAGTCTATATAATCTTCAGACTTCAGGACCCTAACTATGAGTCTATATAATTTTCAAACTTCCAGGGCCCTATGAGTCTATATAATCTTCAAACTTCCAGGCCCTATGAGTCTATATAATCTTCAGACTTCCAGGGCCCTATGCGTCTATATAATCTTCAGACTTCCAGGCCCTATGAGTCTATATAATCTACAGACTTCCAGGGCCCTATGAGTCTATATAATCTTCATACTTCCAGTCCCTATGAGTCTATTTAATCTTCAGATTTCCAGACCCTATGAGTCTATATAATCTTCAGACTTCCAGGGCCCTATGAGTCTAAATAATCTTCAGACTTCCAGGGCCCTATTAGTCTATATAATCTTCAGACTTCCAGGACCCTAGCTATGAGTCTATATAATCTTCAGACTTCCAGGGCCCTATTAGTCTATATAATCATCAGACTTCCAGGGCCCTATGAGTCTATACAATCTTCATACTTCCAGTCCCTATGAGTCTATTTAATCCTCAGATTTCCAGACCCTATGAGTCTATATAATCATCAGACTTCCAGGGCCCTATGAGTCTATACAATCTTCATACTTCCAGTCCCTATGAGTCTATTTAATCTTCAGATTTCCAGGCCCTATGAGTCTATATAATCTTCAGACTTCCAGGGCCCTATTAGTCTATATAATCTTCAGACTTCCAGGACCCTAGCTATGAGTCTATTTAATCTTCAGACTTCCAGGCCCTATGAGTCTATATGAGTCTATATAATCTTCAGACTTCCAGGCCCTATAAGTCTATATAATCTTCAGACTTCCAGGGCCCTATGAGTCTATATAATCTTCAGACTTCCAGGCCCTATGAGTCTATATAATCTTCAGACTTCCATGGCCTTATGAGTCTATATAATCTTCAGACTTCCAGGCCCCTATGAGTCTATATGAGTCTATATAATCTTCAGACTTCCAGGCCCTATGAGTCTATATAATCTTCAGACTTCCAGGCCCCTATGAGTCTATATGAGCCTATATAATCTTCAGACTTCCAGGCCCTATGCGTCTATATAATCTTCAGACTTCCATGCCCTATGACTCTATTTAATCTTCAGATTTCCATACCCTATGAGTCTATTTAATCTTCAGACTTCCATGGCCCTATGAGTCTATATAATCTTCAGACTTCCAGGGCTCTATGAGTCTAAATAATCTTCAGACTTCCAGGGCCCTATTAGTCTATGTAATCTTCAGACTTCCAGGACCCTAGCTATGAGTCTATATAATCTTCAGACTTCCAGGCCCTATGAGTCTATATAATCTTCAGAATTCCAGGCCCTATGAGTCTATATAATCTTCAGACTTCCAGGGCCCTATAAGTCTATATAATCTTCAGACTCCCAGGCCCTATGAGTCTATTTAATCTTCAGACTTCCAGGCCCTATGAGTCTATATGAGTCTATATAATCTTCAGACTTCCAGGCCCTATAAGTCTATGTAATCTTCAGACTTCCAGGGCCCTATGAGTCTATATAATCTTCAGACTTCCAGGCCCTTTGAGTCTATACAATCTTCAGACTTCCAGGGCCCTATGAGTCTATATAATCTTCAGACTTCCATGGCTCATGAGTCTATATAATCTTCAGACTTCCATGGCCTTATGAGTCTATATAATCTTCAGACTTCCATGTCTCTATGAGTCTATATAATCCTCAGACTTCCAGGCCCTATGAGTCTATATAATCTTCATACTTCCATGTCTCTATGAGTCTATATAATCTTCAGACTTCCAGGCCCTATGAGTCTATATAATCTTCAGACTTCCAGGGCCTTATGAGTCTATATAATCTTCATACTTCCATGCCCTATGAGTCTATATTAACTTTAGAGAAAGTGGTTTTATTCCACTGACAGCTCCAATAGCCGAATATTAGAGTGTAAAATAACCTGAGACGGGTGCTGCAGTATCTGTGATGGACCATTGATGTACGATCGCGATGATACTGTGAAAAATGACGCCGTTGAAAGCACAGTCAAACCGCGAAATAAAACACCGATATGTTTTCGTCACAGACACATAGATGTAGAAGTATTAAGCAGGTGGCACAAGTTCAAGGTAGGACAACGTGATAGTTAGCAATTTGATTCTTGTGTTGCTTATTTCTGTGATTTAAAGCGCCTATGAGTTTCTTCTTCCAGCTAGATAGTGCACTATATTTAATATCGCATAGAGATGGAGAAAAAGTCATCAAATTATGTTGCAGGTAGATCTACATGCTATCGATTTATATGTTCCTTGCCTTATTTTCTAATTTTAAATTTTAAATTTTGTCGACAAATCTCATTAAACATTTACATGCATTTTCCCTATGTAGTGTACAAGATTGTAAACTACATTAAGTAATGACATTGTAACATTATTTCGAAGAAAATGAGTAGATCGTTTTAATTTCTGTCTGAAAATGGGGACTTGGATAAGTCTATTACAATTTAGGTACTAAAAGCGTGTATGATCAAAGTTATGTACAAAGGGGAGATAATTCCACACTACCATTTCCGGTCAACATGGCGGATTACGAGAGTGTGCTATGTGTCAAAAACACAGTTCATGTATACAAAATACCACCCCGGCCTTCAAACAGAGGGTATAGGTGAGATACAAGAAACACGTACATTATACTCGTTATACCCTCTAACCATAGTGTATTATTATGTATAACATAATTGAAAAAACACATTATATTCGGCACAATGGGTCCCCCCGGTTTGTGGGCGGATCTCCTCTTTTCAGGATTGATCATACAGTAGAATGTATTGATTAAAAGTCAGTCCTTCATTTAACTGTGAAATATATCCGACTTGGTCAGTTTACATATATGTGGTTGTTAGAAATATGTATGAAATAGGATTTAATTGTTTTTATCAGATGAAAAAAAGGCACGTTTTGTCAGACTATAAATTAAATACTAAAAATAGCGGGGACAGTTCAATGAATGGATAATCCTAGTTGGAATGTAGATTAGCCGTGTCTTTGTCAATACATTTTTTCTATATATATTGCCATGTGGCCAAAAGTAATAGATATTTAAGCCCATTGAACTGACTGGTTTTACGAAGCTGATATTGGTCCTTTTGATTTCTACCATTTTTAATTGCCTGGCCCAGTGGGTGAAGTTTGCTTATGCCATGGTGCCATGGTGTGGTGTCTATCGTCTGTCTGCCCGTCTATCCATCATCTTTCCTTTAAAACTCTGGTAGTTAAGACTGGTTGAATGGTTTAGCAGTTTTGGGCAAGGGGATTGAATGTTATAAAAGCAAGATTCATATGTGTGTGCACCCCCCCCCCCCCTTCACACAATATACACAAATTTTAAAGGGCACCCCACCAACACCACCCCATCCAACTCCACTTTGCACCACATATTGTAACAATAGTTGTCTGGAAATATCACAAGAGAAAGGTGATCATTTTTGTATAAATGTAGTGTGTGACATCAGGGGTTGTGCTAGAGGGATGGAACACTAAGTAGAGGAAATTTGACTATACAGCTGTACTGCTTAAACATTAATTAAAATCCACAATATATAACTTTGTATATAATAAGTGGGCAAGAAGAGACAACAACAATCTTGCTATGAGGATTGGCCTCTGGGTCCAATGTTAACTCCCCCGGGGAATGAGTCCTTGGGTCATGATATGGAAATTATTGAGATTTCCAACCTGTAAAATAACTATGTATGCCAGTGCTTTAGACAGAAAGAGGAGAATATATTTATACAGCCAGGATTGGCTTTTGAGTCCAGTTTAACCCTTGGGGACTATGTGCTTGGGTCATACATACAAATGTATGTACATGTACCATGCATGGAAACATGAAATGCCCACTCTTTAATTGTACATGTACTTGCATGCGAAAATGGATACACTTGTGCATATGCAGATCAGCCCTGCTCTTGGATCTAAATTAGTAGAACATAATGTCATACTACATTGTACATTGTACCAGCAATATTAGCCCGGGCTCTATTCTTTAATCCAAGGACTTAGTCCAAGGGTTAGCTTATAGTCCAGGCCATGCATGGTTAGTCCTTTAGGTTCCCTATAACCATATATGTACAAATATTCAGATCTCATCCTTTGTTATAAGCATCCTTGGTCTCTGGTACCATGGAATCAAATAATGAATAAAATGTTTAATATAGCTCCATATGAGGTTGAAGACAAGGCTGAAAATGGAGTTATGTGGGCATGGTATTCTTTAAAAGTTCTCCTCCTGAATGGTTGATCATATTTCAACCAAATTTCCTATGGACTAGGGAAACAAGTCTCATATATCATGGTAAATGAACAGTTTTGTCACCCTTAGTGCTAGGAGGTGGAACCAAAAATGGGAAACTATACAGTTGTATGTAATGTTGTGTTTAATAGAAATATTTTGCTACAATTGCTAGTACACAAGCCCTCTGGACCTCACAATTTGAGATAAGCCACTGTGCTTTAGGTATACTCAATGTGTTTATTCTCAACAGATACATATTTTCCCATGGATAAATGTCCAAGGAATAGTGGATACAGTAAAGATTCCATTTTTAATTTCTATCTTTCAACACTTTTCATGCGAAGGACTTCAAGTCCAGAAAAGCTAGAACAGATTTTGATAAAAAAACAAAATGGGTGTAACTTGTACAATCTTTTGTGAAAAATTAAAACCTCCTTGACACTTTAACAGATAATTAAATAATTAATTCCACTGTGCGGTTTTTTTCTGACTTTCCAGGGCAGCTGATTGGAAGCTTGATGAACCAGACTGGACAGGAAGACTCCGGATTGTGTCCAAAGGAAAAGAACTGTATATTAAACTTGAAGATAAAACTTCAGGTACAATTTAAAAAAAATGAAAACAGAAATATAGCTCTGTGATTAACCCAAATTCAATCAAATAGTATTGTTATAAATATATGCAAGTAATTTTAAATGTATAAATTCTGCCCATAGTCCATACGGAATGCAACATCACAAATCCAAAATAACAAAACTGTTATCAACATTATGGGGACAACGTTGTAAAATGAGTTGTCTCCCTTGTTTCCAGGTGACCTGTTTGCACAGTGCCCAGTAGAACAGTACCCAGGTATAGCTGTGGAATCAGTTACAGATTCTAGTCGATATTTTGTTCTACGAATCAAAGATGATGGAGGTAGGTGTTGAACTTTACAAACTTACTTTTCTAAAATGTGAACATTTTGCCCAATTTTTTTTTATATTTTTTTTTGTGTGTTTTTTTTTCTTCTTGATGGCGATAACCTATTCAACACAAGGTGATCATAAAGAATGCTTGTAACATAAATAAACCATTCCACTATACTACCATAGTATTTGTCGTGCATTAAGCCAAGCTGTCAATACTCAAAGTAGTGAGTATAGTTTATTACAGAGAAATAAAATCGTGTTTGTTGGCATTTCCACTAAACAGCAAAATATGTGGATGGGCTTATTACCAGGCATGGGCTTAACATGGGATAAATAGGGTAGGGAAAATCTCCAATTCATAAAAAGCTAAATTCAGCTCTGTATTGAATTGTTTTTAAAGACACATGAACAGAGATTTAACATTGCAATAATGTGTAAGTTGATTTAATACAGTTAATTGTATACAAAAGAAAAAATAGAATATAAACAAAATTGTAATTATAATGCATAGAGATTTTTTTTAGGTAAAATATGAATCATAATGTGGTATTTTGAATCAGTAACCTCCCTTGCTTGTAAGGCTGCAGTCTGTACATTGTAAATATTGGACATGTATATCCTGGTATTTAACTCATTCACCCCTGAAATTTCATAATGCACTACTCCAACCTTTGAATAGGAAGAGTTCAAATGTGTTTTCAGGGGTGAATGAGTTAAACTTAATCCACAAAAATTGTAGATGATCTGTAGCCTTGTATTTCTGTGACAGGTCGATCAGCATTCATTGGAATCGGGTTTGAAGATCGAGGGGATTCTTTTGACCTTAACGTATCGTTACAAGATCATTTCAAGTAAGTACATGTTTAAACACCCATTCATTTAACTGACAAGTGTACATGAATCCTTCAGAACGTAAAGTGTGGTAGGACGATCAGAGGTTCACTATCTGTACATGTACGTCATAAATATGTACAGTATATGTCTAGTAAATACTATATTGGTGTAAACTAAACATTTATTGCCCTTACTGTAGGGCAACACAACTCTTTGTGTCTCCGAGGTTAACATGATTAATCAACAACAATAAAAAAAAACCAATAACACAATAAAAGATTTGAGCAGGTTGACGTGCCATTGTTGTCATCTGCTCCCGTCATTCGGAACTAGGTTGTTGTGGCTCTTTGCCGATTCTTTGCCCAGTCATGTGACCAGTATCATCCAATCAGACACGCTGTAATGAAAATGAGGTATATTTATTCCAGTAGTCCAGCACTTGGGGCTAGTGTCAATTGTAGGGAATACTGGTGTAGGATGTCTCACCCTGTTGTTACATTGGATCTGAGACCAGCTTCCCACTCCGAAAACTAACATCACACTGGAGAAAAAAACTTGTGTGATCTGTTAAAGAGTCAGGAAGCAAAGAGGTCATGCTAAAACATACAAGGGCCATTTTCATTTAAACGGTTGAACCGGTCGGACCTCAGTTGTTTGTTCATTAAATAAGGTCGGACCTAGTAATCTTATGCTGCTTTCAGGCAGGCCTTGAGAAAGCCTTGCAAGGCCTGCATAAACATTTGCAGGTCCGCCTGGATTTATACCGTAGTTGGTACATTTAAAAACAGATAAACCAGTTATTCCGCATAAACGAACAGGCCCCAGATCTTGTGTTGGTGCAGTCAACAATCCAAGGGAGATAACCTCCTGAAATTTACTACAAAATGGCCAATATTTTCTGTGAAAACAAAGGTCAGACTATTTTTTTTTTTAATATCTGCCTGCAGCCTTTTACAGTAATACTGAATATGTACACCCCAGAATTAAATTGCCCATGAATTAATGACGTGATATTATATTGGCACCAAGTGACAGTGACACCCTGAAAGCTTATTGCCTTGCATACAGGAATTTTCAAACATTATTTTCATTAAACATTTATAATCTGTTATTTACATTTACAAATTCAGATCAAAATAAAATTGTCCACAAGGGCATACAATATGTCATATTTATGGTACAAGCCTGCAGGCAGAATTTGAAATCTTCCAGCTATAGGCCTGACTTATGTTTTCATAGCAGATAAAATCTCTAATTTTCACGGGGATTTTATTTCGTATTTGATTTCGTTTGTAATCTTCATCCATGAAATCATAGGTCCACGATGTAATTACAAGTTTACATTAAGCAATTTTCCGTATGAGAAGGTACTCGTAATCCATGAATTCATGTACCCATGAAATGGTGTTTTGTCTGGAAACCACGAAATTTGGGCCCACAAAAATATCTGATTTCACAGTATATAGGAAAATTGTTCCCTAGTCCTGACATAGAATTGTACCTTTCTTATTTATTATACTAATGAAATTGTACACCCATGCTCAATTATTGCAAAAGAAAAAATAATGATTTACCTAATTAACTCATTCACTCATTTACCCCTGAAGACACATTTTAACTCTTCCAATTCAAAGTTTGGAATAGTTCATTATGAAATTTCAGGGGGTGAATGACTTAATGTACAGTGTAATGTTAATCTGTCACTCCATCCACAGGTGGTTAAAAACGGAGGAGGAGGCCAAGTCAGCATCCACACAGTTTGATAAGGGACCAAAGCTTGACCTGGGCTTCAAGGAGGGACAGACGATCAAGATCAATATTGGGGTACTCTGTTCTACAACTTGTGTTCCTCGTGTTAAGCAGCTGTGTTCCATCAAAAAACCCAAATTAGGGGTTTCACCCCCAAATCATTTGGTTGTACCCCCAGTTTTAAACGATTGCCCTATGTAACTAGGTACCTAGCTAGGGGTACAGAATCTTGAAAATGTATCAAATATACACCCAAATCTAAAATTCTGTGGGAGCACTATTAAGTCTGGTCATTTTGCAAGAACAAAACATCATTGTGAATTGTGTATACATTGTATAGAAAGATTTTAGAAAAAATTCTGTTAATCATTGTTTTTAATCCTCTCCGTATGTTCATAAATTCAGGTTCTCCTAGCCTGCTCAAAATCATTAATTAGATTCATCAGTTAGGAAATATGTAATATCCAAGTTTTACTTCATACACAAACAATGTATGTATAAAATACATCACAACGTTTCAAGACTGACTGGTCCCTTTGTCAAGCTATGAAGTAAAACTTTGATATTGCTCAGAATCAAGTTGGGTGCCCAAACTTATTTTTTGTAATTTGCTGAGATCTTGTGAATGTATCAAAAAGTAAACAGCATTGGAGTGCTTCTCGGCTCACTAAGTACCTACAGAAATGTGAGAGTTGAAATAAAATTTTATGGAATTTAAGAAAGTACTTCAGCTTTCTTTTTTGTATTAAAAATACTTTCAGTAGGACTTAGTTCAATATGAAAGTATTTTCTATTTCTATTAAGATCACTTTTGACCATTGAATTGTTAGAAATTGGGAGACTGGAATATTATTTGAGAGAACCCCATTTTAGATCTAAATTGCTAACATGGATACATATTGACTGCATACTACTGAAGATGTGTTAATATTCACATTATTCTTTTCAGACAAAAAGGTCAGATTCATCAAATACCAAAGCTAGACCAAGAGGAAATGCAGGAGGAGGGATAGGGATTTTGCCGCCGCCACCAGGGGGAGTGAAACTCCCAGCACCACCAGGGGGCGGTATACAGCCGCCCCAGCCATCATTTGTTGGTGCTCCAGTACCTACACAGCCACAAGCAGCACCAGTGGCACAAAATAACAGCTCGAGTGCTTCTAGTAACATTGACTTCCTGTTCGATTTGGGACCAAGAAATAACGATTCTGCTCCACTTCAGCCTCAGGCGGTGCAGAGTAGTTCTGACCCCTGGGGGGACTTTGCTAGTGCTGGGTAAGTGTTTGTCGGACTGGATTAATAAAATCCTATATCTGTTTTTTATGTGACTGACTCACAAAATTCTAGTGTATAGGCATGCTTGCCATCTTTTTGAAATTTTCATGGGGGAGATTATGGGTGCTCAGAAATATATACCTGAGAGAAAACAGAACACTTTTTAATGGCATCTTTGGAACTGTTCTTTCCGATGAAACCAAAAGATTTTAGAAAATACTCAATCTAGACTTGATTCACTACCATTTATGGGTAGTTTCTCCTACAGAAGAAAATTCTCCTGTTATTAGAAATACCCCCTTATGTGCTTCAAAATTATCCTATTTCAACGAGAAAATATTTCTCCTATGAATATGTTTTCTTCAACAGTTAAAATGCATAATACTGCATATATACATTTTCTTAACATAATTTGAATAAAAAATTCTAAAATCTAAGCTTAAAATTGTTTATAAATTGAAATATACTGCACACATGTATGTCGGACAAAACATTTATCTTTTACCTTCATGATCATGACCCTAGAGCCTTGTATCAAAATTTTAATTTCCCCCAAATCTGGACAAGGGTAGATTCCCCTAAAACCTAGATGAAGTTTAGCAAATTCACTGGTAAAAATGCTCTATTTTAGGTTCCAAAATGGGGAGTCTCCCTCCTAAATAGGGAGAGTTGACATGTATGTATGCGTCCTGTTCGGTTAGTTTTGATGTCTTTGTTTGGCATTAGTTTCTTACAGACACGTTGTCACCGACGTCATTCAGATCCACGATAACCTCATTTTTACGGTAGTATATCTGTGGGTAGCATGCTAAAAGGTTACTGGTAGTCTTTTGTGGGATCGATTTGTGATAACTGGTTCTCCATCATTTCTTTATTTTACAGACATATTTAAACAGTACATCTCTAACTATTTTGGTTATTATTGGTACAAATTCTGGTTAAAATGTTTTCATTCCTACAGGAGGAGGTCTGCTGAGAAGCAGTAGTGTGTGATAACCATACCCTAGGTTTGATGTTTATGATATTAAGCCCCTCCCCCTCCCCAAATTTAGTCCTTCCCATTACCATACAGCCAGCACTATAGGTATATGGAAAAAGTCAAGTTTAAAAGTTCCTTGAAATCAAAATGTTGCATCCAGGGAATCCAGAAAATCAAAAATAAAATATACGAAAAACAAAAGGGGTATATTTTTCAGTTTAAAATACAGACAGGTGCCACGTCGCAGTGGGCAAAATCATATCCAATAGAAAAAAGGCTGACTAGTGGCCTCTTATGTTATAGGAGATGGGTAAATTGTTGAAAAGGGAAGTAACTCTAATCATCTCTACCATATAGAAGAGTATGCTTCACAATTGCAATTGTGCATTGGTTCTTTTTCCTAAAATAGCAGAAACTTTGGGTAAATTTTCAAAAACATAAATATAATGGTAATCATGTTTCAATGTGATAACTTATAGATATACAAGTACTGTATTCTTACTTGTCATAAATTATAGATAAACAAAAAGATATACAAGTACTGTATTCATTGAAACTCTTCCGAAATGAGTGGTTTAGGCTCTTCAACAAGTAAATATGTTGGAATCTGTCTCAGATGGTATAATTTAAAGCATTTCCTAGCCTAGGCCTACAGTGAATACTTTCTGTCCTTTCACATTTTCATGACAGGGAAGTCATGTGGAAAAGTCTTTGAATATAAAAACTTTCTACAATAACCCCTATTTGACAAAACAATAGTAAAATGATGCCACAGTTTATGCTGTTCTATGTGATGAATTTATTAAGTTTGATAAAAAAAAAATACCAAGTGGGGGATTCAGTAGATTTCTGACAGATGACACGTAATTAAGAAATGTCTTGCATGTCATTTGCAGACACAAATATACCCCCTCCCGACACAGAATCTTCCTGTTCCTTTTCTTCTCAACATACACACACCCTGTCAAAAACACTCACTAAAAACAATCCTGATCTACACTTACCTCCCACACACTGTCCCAACTCCCGTCCCCTACATGTATTTTTTATGTATCTATATAGCATTTTACTAAGTAATCAGATGATCACATGTAAAGTCATGTACCGTAGAGCAGGGTATTTCCGTGGAGATGTTATTTTTTGTGATTTTGCGGGTCTATAATGTGACATTAAGAGTAATGATGTTTAAAAATAGATTATATTGACATCTAATTGTTTTGTTGATGATTTGTTTAAAAAATACATGTATTGTTGTTGCTCAATATGCTGTTATTAGCCGCGGCCCATTCGTCGGGCTATTTGCCACTATATATGCAAGAGTGTCTATAGTCTCTGTGCTAAAACACAGCAAAAATGTAGTTCCTTCACATGTGTAGATCTCGAAATTATAATCTGTGTAATTTTCATATTTTTGGTCAAAATCGTGAAAAGCGAAGCCTGCGTAAAAAAACTGCGATATGGTACCTACAGTAGGCAAGATAATTAAGTTGTATACAGGTTTATATACAGACAGATCGCTAGATGTATTCATATACATGACAAACATGCCGTTTTCAACTCAAGTGTTCTGACTGTTAATGTCAATTTTGCTTTTCCTGGTTTAAGCATCTCATCCCCTTTGCAGTATTTCATTGACTTATCTTAAATAAAAGTGTTATCATGGCTATTTTTTGAGAATTTCGGAACGTTCCAGAGTCATTCTAAATTTCTCTAAATACTATTAACTAAGACTTTAATTAGGTTGAATAAAGTAGTACATGTATAATTTCTAGAATATGAGATATCTGTACTGACAAATGTTATCCTACGTGATTTACATGACGTGGATGCTGAAGGGATATTGTATGGTACTTTATGATCAAGGCCTGATTATAAGCTCTATGAGAAGTAACACAGATTCATAATAGAATTTATTTCCCTTCCAAAAAAATGGAATTTATAACACATGTTTATTCAGAATTTTCATAATAACGTTCATTTGAAGAAAATTAACAATTTGTTGATTGTAAGACAATAATGAAGCAATTTTGAATATGTGTGTTCTTGAATTAGGCTTTGATTGAACTCAGGTCTGTTGGAGGGTGTTATTTGGTATTGGCAAATGTTTCCAGCTATTTGATTTTCACACTTGTCCTCCATAGTGAGGTCATATCCAACTTTGTGGCAAACATCAGTACCGTTCACCTTGCATATAATTTCTAATGTGAATGATGAAATGGACACGCAGCAAAATTAAATGAAGAGTGAAGTTTTCATTGGCTAGAAGTTTTGTGGTATATAGTATGGGTTTGTGACATATATGTACAACTGAGGTTACATGATTCAACCCTGAAGACACATTTGAACTGTGATTGTGATTTTACTAAATGTGTTAATTCCTATTAAAATAATAATGAAGGATTAGTGACATACAGAAATTGACCATGTACTTTCCATATGATCAATCAAAATATAGATAGTTGATTAATTTAACTAACATGTCAGTATTTTCTGGCCTCTGAGATACTTTGTTGGTCAATCCTAAAAATGTCGAAACTCATTCATCCCTACATTTTTAAACTGGACTTGCCCAGTCTTTGATTTGGTAAGGTTCAAATGTGACTTTAGGGGTGAATGGGTTAGCCTTCATTTAAACATGTATATGTCCAGGTAGATAGCTGGTTTCTGGTTGTACCTGATGTATCTGTTGAGGGTGGAGCCCTGGCACTGGTTCACTAAAGCCTCTTAAATTCTTCTGGTATGACCTACCAGCGATCTTCGGGGACATTTTGTCACGTGAAACTGACTCCTCTAGGTCATGTGATAGACCTTGGTAAAGACCACTCACACTTGTGAACTGCTCCAACATATTGCTGAAATCTAGTTGAAAGCTTTTGCTTTTATCCTAAATAGGTTTCTTCTTTGACATTATCACTATGACAGAATCAGGAAGCAACATTCGGCTGATCATATAATATCCTCTCTAGATACGGGAACCTACGGTCCAATCTCTAAAATAAAATAAAATATATCAGCCATTGGCATTGAGCTTAAATTTCAAAATAAAAATATCGACCGTTGAGCTATATAGAAATATAATTGGTTCCAGGAGTTAGAATTATAGTAGTTTGATTACTTATTCATCTGTTTTTGTTTACAGGTCAGCCGAAGACAACAGCTGGGTCCAGTTCTAGTGACCTATCAGACAATTTAATGTAACGTAGTGCTGAGATTAGGATTAGTTTACATGTACCGGCTGTTCATCCACCATCATCGTCATCTCCACGACACTTATACTCATCAACATTTGACCTCATTAATCAGGTCATGATGATCTTTGACCTTTGACCTGAAATAAAATGAACAGGATATGTGGTGTTTGTGACCTTTGACCTGAAATAAAATGAACAGGATATGTGGTGTTTGACCTATGAATACATTTTAACAGTATATTCAAATTAAATTGTTATTTTGATTTACTGAAAAGAAAATGTCTGTCAATGTTGGAGCATTAAACTGTATTTATGTACAAAATGATATATTTACAATCATCATTACTTGGCCATATACCGTTATATATAAAGGTCGTAATATTTTGAAGGTCATTGACACTCTGAGGATATTTACATTGTGAAGGTCACCATTACAGTATAAATATCATTACATTAGGAGTCATCACAGTGTAAAAATCCTCACATGTTGAAGGTCATTCTTTCTGAAGGGCCGATCCTCACATGTTGAAGGTCATTCTTTCTGAAGGGCCGATCCTTACATGTTGAAGGTCGTTCTTTCTAAAGGGCATTCCTCTGTGAAGGACATAACATTGTGGCAATACTCTCTGGTTATTTTAATACATTGTAACTATGAACCTCAGAGACAATTGACCTTGATATAATGTCAAGGTCAAATGTATATTTGTGGAGCCTCATAAGTTCGTACAAATTGGCAAGGAAACATTTTTGTAGAATTTCAATCATACGGTCCTTTAATTAAATGTCTCCTTGACCAGTGTTGGTCAAAACTTCTCCCTGACCAATGTTGTTGGTCAAAACTTCTCCCTGACCAGTGTTGTGTTACCTGCGAATCAAAGGTGAGATATAGAGATCACTGTGTTGTCATCAGCTTCATCTACAGAAATGGTGTGATAAATCTCAAAGAAACACTTTGATTTTCATGATACTTCCTATACGTAGTTTTATTTTGACCAAAGTCTGAAAATCAACATGGCCGACAGCAGAGTCGGGCCACACATCTGTTTCCATGGGGAGTTCTTGTTGTGTGGTATTATTGTTGATAGCCAGACTAAGGAATAGATGATCCAGACCAAAATATCTATGTTATGATTTGTCGGTTGTGTTATATAGATTATTTCATAGAGGTGCATCATCGTTGAAAAAACAGGGGCCTGCATCTGTAAAATATGCAAAATATCACAATGGGAAAGGGTTTATTAAGACCAAAATAGTGTTCTAGTAAATATTCGTAAAAAGTTACGCAAGTTCTAGTATAAGGAGAGAGTACTGTGTATCAGGCGTTTTATTCTTTGATGCAAAGTTTTTGAATATGTTTAAAATCAAATTTATGTACCACATGACATGTATTTCAATTTTCAATTTTCACATGTTTATGTCTACGGTAACGTTATTATGTGACTGTGTGGTATTTTTCATTATTTGGTCAAAAGTTTGTGTGCTACTTTTTGCAATTTCACAAAATCAAAAACAAAAAAATAAAATTTGCTTATAAAGATTAAGATGCTTTTTGCAAAAAATGCTTGATATACAATATTTTCTGTTTGAACAACTTGGATTGGTGTAATTTTACTTGACAGTTTCCAGAGTGTTTTATTCCTACCTCAATGAGGAAATTCCGTAAATATTACTGAGACAGTGCTGGCCCTGATCACAATTCATTGAAATTACCCAGAATATAATAAAATCCCCCTGTGTGTTATGTGTTGTTGTTTATAAATAAATTGAATGAAGAAATAATTAAACTCTGATAAATTTAGTATTGTAAATATATATATAATGTATAGAAATATGTGTAAGGCTAGGTGTCTCATAGTAACATTACATAAGACTGTATAGACATTAATGATACTGCTCTCATTTACATTTATGCGTGTGTGCGTGTGCATGTGGCAATGTGTGTGAGCATATGTGCATGCATGTTTGTGTACGTGTATGAAGTGTCAAGGGCGGTAGATCAGATGCACATTCATTGCTCATTCATCTTTATAGAATATTTAAACTATAGTGTTAATTCCAAACAGTGTTGTGGTGTCCGTGTAATGTGTAGCTATATAGTGTATGGTGGGTGACTACCCCCAAAGGTTTATAGAAAGCATAATGTTCCAGTCTCTGCTGCTTCAAACTTCATTAGCCTAGAAAATCATTATGAAGACTATGAAACCATGATATAACAAGTTACAATAAAAGATCAATGATATCGTTATTGTTACTTGTAACACTGAGAAGGAAGCAACCAGGCTTAAGATTAAAAAAGAGTCGCCTCAAAATACATTTCCAAAGTAAAAGTCACAAAATTTGATAAATAGTGTTATTAGGTAATGAAGTTTTGGGTGGATAAGATCTAATTAGATGTGATTTATAAAAACAGGAGCTTTATAAGTTTAGACAGGTGTTTGTAGAAACTACAGAGAAAATAGAAATATTTGAGATAGAGTGAAGGTTTAATTGTGAGACTGTAGATAGGTAAATGAGAGTTTTGATTAGATATCGGGGAGAGGGATTTTGATTGAATACTTGTATTAGAGATTTTAATTGGATATTTGGGAGAGCGTTTCAATTGGATATTTGGGGAGAAGAGAGTTTTGATTGGGCATTTGGGAGAGTGATTTGATTGGATATTTGGGAGGAGAGTGATTTGATTGGATAATTGGAGAGGAAAGAGTTTTGATTGGATATTTGGAGAGGGATTTAATTGGATATTTGGGAGAGAGTTTTGAGGTTTGTTTCTGTGAGGTTGTGCATTATATGTCTATTGAATTTTATTTCTTTTGTAAATTCTTTGAAATGTGTACAGTTTCATTTTCAAATAAAAAGAAATATATGTACTAGATTTCATTTTAAGAGATTTGTTAATTTAATTGCTGTATATTAGACATAAACAGATGAGTTTATGACTAATTTATCAGGTATAAAGGTACAGCTATTTGTTGCGTATTTTTCCTGCTGAAAGTGACATTTGATTTGATCTCAACTCTTCAAAAGTCATTAAAGCCATATTAATATGGACTCTTATTGTATAATTTACAAGATTGAAGGTTTTTAATTGTTGGAACCATATATAACAGCTGTGTGCCATCAGGGATAAATAAAACTTTTTTTGTGAATTTCAAAGTTGATCACAGAAACAAAATTTAAATTTAAATCTGTATCAGTTTAAATGGCTTCATAATACATGTACATTTGTATTAACAAAACTTGATCAAGGACTATTTCTCTATCATATGTCTTTGATGCTACTTTTAAAACATTTTTCTTTTTTCATTATCAGCCTTGAAAATAAACTTAACTGTTATGAAAGAAAAATAAATGAGGCTGTGTATGTGAATTAAATCTGACCCCAAAAACGTACCTGTGCACTATACCCAAGTGTGCACTATACCCGCAAATTTACGGTAGTTTTACAGTGTAAGATTTTGGAAGGCGTTCATGTGCACATAGTATTACCAAGTGGGCATGATCTGTTTTCCAGTAATCCGTGGTTGCTAATGAAATACGTGTCACATCGCTGAAACATTTTATTTGCTAAATTGCTTTTAATGCTGGTACGTTTCGATGCTACACACATTGCTATATGCCGTTCATTACCTGAATTGTAAAGAATATTTTGTATATAACGGGCCTGAAACATACCATACTTTTGACCAAAATTTACTTGCTAAAACAGTATTACTGCTCAACTTATTGGCAGGTTTTACCCATATTCGCTGCAAGATCCAATTTCTATGATCATCCACCGTAAAATTTGTTTTATTTACTGATTTGTTTTATTTACTGAGCAAGAGCTAGTTCCTTGATAAATTCAGTTCCCTTCAGAAAATGTATAGCAATACCTGACAATGAGGCCAAACGGATAAATATGTATGTTTCATGTATCTTGACCTACCCTAATTTGCTGCCGACCCTAGAAAATGTATCCCCTACCTGTCTCTAAGATTTATTAATTACCCAGCTCACAGCCACTTCTCCAAATGCACTTTCTTCCTGTTCTGGGAGTCTGACCCTAATAGCCATTGTAATGTGTGGAAAGGATTTATAAAATTTGATATAAAGCATAGTATTGCTCCATAAAAATGAAAAATTTAAAGTAAAATAAAATTATTTGCCAACTGACCTACCCTATTCATTTTCAGGTGTGTAACCTGAAAGACATGTTTTTGGCCTGATACATTTAGTTTTTGTAACATTTTTTGCATTTTTTTTTCTTTCTTAATATGACATTGTGTATTAGCAAAAACAAACTGTATGATCAATACATAACTTTGCAAAACAAGATATCCCAATACTAAGTAAATAGATTCTGAAAATAATGACGCAATAATTTTTACATTTTACATGAAAATTTGCCCAGATTTTATGTTCAAAATTGAGCACAGTGTATATAACCACGGACTTAGATAGTAATCTAATTCCGTGATATAACATTCAAGTTTTATGTTGATATTTTATTCCTTTTGTATATTATTTTTACCCTTTCACCACTGTAGACCATAATTAACTCATCCAGATCAATGCATGGTAGAGTCTACTAAAGTTACATAGGGGTGAAAGCGTCAAGTTCATCTCTTTACTGATGCAATAGTGTTCTTATAAAGTATGTATCAGGTCATTGTGACTTTATTTGAAAAAAATTGTATCTACTATATACAATTTATTTAAAGGAGTTGTGACATTTATCTGCAATGGGAAGCTATGCATTAGCTGCTAATTTGATATGACTGAGATTTGAGAGAGAGAAAGAGAGAGAGAGAGAGATGAATACCTGTTAATATATTGAACATACCTGTACGTATTGTGAATAAAAGATAATCATTCCAACCCTTAGTCTGATTGGTGTTTATTTTGATAAAATAACACATCTTTTTATATACTGTACTTACTACATTGTATATAAAAACAGAGTGTAATATGCTAGCAGGCTGTCCATCTGGCCATCTGTCTATCAATATGTTTACATTGTTTTATGAGCACAACTTATCAAACAGTTTTCAACAGATCATATAAGGATGAGCATATCATAAAATAGGGATACTTTAGTAAATTTAAGATCACTTACATCCTCGATAATAACGCTCACTTTAATTAGCTCTCTGTGAACTAACCCCTGGAGTATCCTGATGGGTCACTCATGACCATTTTTTAATCCACCAGCACATTTGAACATTGTGACTTCAATTCAAACAGATCTTTATCAAATCTTCTGGCATTTGATATGTTCAAAGTGAAACATAATCACATAAATATTTTGAAATGATGCAGTAAATTTAGCAACAGATGCGGCCGTTTCTTTTTCAATACATTTTGAACCTTATCACATAAATCAAAAATGGGCAAAGGGAGGCAATCCCTGCAACTTAAATGCAATGTAGTTTTTGCTTGTTACTTGCAATATTTTGTTACAAGACATCTTGAGCTACAACACTTTGTGCTGTCAAAAAAATGCTTGAAATTCTGTTTGAAAATGCTATTGTTGAAAACTTGTGTTCCAAATATAGGAATCATTTACGAGTCAGTCTTTAACTCATTCACCCCTGAAATTCCATAATGAACTATTCCAACCATTGAATTGGAAGAGTTCAAATGTTTTTTCAGGGGTGAAAGACTTAAATTACCACAGAATTTTACTCTTTCCAATTTTCATTAATTTCAACAATGTATTACAGGATATAAAACTATCTGTGTCATGCAGTGCTCTTGTTAAGAGGGGAAGGGGGGGGGGGGCGTCTTCCATTAGACGAACAGAAAACAGAAAGAGGATGTTGTCATAGATGAGGAACAAACACCCTTATAAAGATGCACGCAACTTGTCAAAGCTGATTGTCGAAATGATCGAGTTGAGTAGGTCATAACTATATAGCTCTGTTGAGAAAGTAGCTGTTTCATTCATTTTAATATCTACATGATACAAAAGACATTAAGACATTTTCTGTATTTTATTCAATAGGTGCATTTAATAAATTAAACTGTATTTATTTATTTTACAACAATTATTGCGAAAAATGTTATATCAATTGATAGTAATCACTCTTTTTGCCCCGGATCGTAGCGCAGTAAGTCTTCACATTTAACATTGATTTCCGCGCTAATCATGCGTACGTTACAAGGAATTTGAAATTGTATACAATATTAGCAATCAGGGACCTGTTTCTTTTTCAAGCTACTGTGTTGGTGAAATCTTGTACATTTGTAGGTATAGGTTGCTTGTGATCAATGTAAAGAACTAGACACTTCGTGTTTCAGAAACACATTAAATTGAAACCAAGTCCGGGATCGGAACAGCGCATGCATCCTGAATACAAACGGCTATTATCATGTTAGTTTTAAAATAATGAAATTATTTATTTATTGTATGTGATGCAGTTTGTTTTTAGTTATAGCTACAATGTAAGAAAGAGAGAGAGAGAGAGATACACAAATATTTTAGCGGGGAAACATTTGCTAAAATATCGTATCCAATCACACACACTTTCGTTTTTTTTTTTTTTTTTTTTTTTTTTTTTTTTTGTAATATTAAAGATGTCCACTTTAGATCAGAACCTGGAAACAAGCTATGGTGTGTTGATCATCAAAAGTCAGGTCATTATCAAGGCCAGTCGGATTATCAACAGCTAAGGTGATTGTAAAGGCCAGCTGGATACTCAACAGTCAAGGTCATTATCAAGGCCAGCTGGATTATCAACAGTCAAGGTCATTATCAAGGCCAGCCAGATACTCAACAGTCAAGGTCATTATCAAGGCCAGCCAGATACTTAATAGTCAAGGTCATTATCAAGGCCAGCCGGATACTCAACAGTCAAGGTCATTATCAAGGCCAGCCGGATATTCAACAGTCAAGGTCATTATCAAGGCCAGCTGGATTATCAACAGCCAAGGTCATTATCAAGGCCAGTCAGATACAGTTTAAAGAGGATGGTCTTTACAAATCGCCTGTCCGTTCACATCCAGAAGTCTGAAAATCTCTGAAATTTCACAATTAGATACATTTTTATATATGAAATGTTCAAAAGGGGCATAACAAATCAAGGTCAAGATCACTGTTGTTTGAAATAGAAAGGGATATAAGGAATACTTCAGGTTTTAATCAAATTTAGTATATAGATGTATTATGACACAGTGCAAACTGGACAGAGACCGTCATTTACCCTGTGGACAAGAAACAATAAAGTTGCCTTTAACTGACTTCTGATTTAGTCAGGTCAACATTAAGATATTTTCCAGTTTTAATCAAAAGAATGCATGCAAGTGAAAAGTGATATTGTAGCTGACTGCTTCGACTTTCGTTTTCCTGTAGGCTAAGATGATTACCATACCCAGGCTTCTGATTTATTGAATTTTCATATATTTTCTGATGTCATCTTTGATACTACACTGCAAACTCAATTACACTTTCCCATTTTGTATCATTTACGACTGTATGGGGGAACAGTGTTATGGCCGCCGTTACAACTAGAACTTATTTACTGTAAAGGTGGACATTTTCGCGGTGTGGAAATATTAGCAGTTTTATGCTTTGAGTAAATTAATGCAAAATTATCCACAAGCGAATATATTTATTAATATATTATTAAGATTACAGAAACACAGAATATAGAGAGTGCAGAACCATTGACATCGCGAATATGTTCACACCACAAGCAGTTTTAAGAGTCGCAACGCTGACATTTCCACGTGGGAAACCTTATAATTTCATAGTACGTATATCTTAATTACATTTAGTGCATTTGTATTATTTACCGTTATTATCATCTTTGAAAGATACTTATCGACTAAACTGAAAATGTATTAAAAAACAAGACAGTTTCCATCCCACCCTTACCCCAACAATAACACACACACACAGCGGATATTTGCTTCATTTAGTTTAATCATTAATATTTCTATCATAAACTATTCTCCAATACCATATGTGTACAGAGACATATAAAGCCATGTAGGTAGTATACGTCTCTGATGTGTAACCATGTCATTTTCATGCTTATTGAAGGTTTGATATTTATATTTCTGGTTCATGATTTTTATTTTCTATAGATAGTCGTCTTCATCTGTAAAACTTACAATCTAATTTACAATAGGTAGAGCAGAATTATATATTTTTTTCTTTAAAACCCCAAGACATTTCAATTCTCGCGCTATCCCGCAGCAAATGCACGTGCTGGATGGGAAACGCTATTTCCGTGCGTGCGAAGTTACAATCAGGTGAGCTTTATGAACTGTCAATCAAATAAATAGTATTTGTAAATACACAGTTAAATCTGGCTCGGATTATGGACGCATGGCATGATAAATATCTCAAGAATGGGCGTGAAGACAGTGCGGATCGATGTACCGGTAAGGATGTACATTGTACATTATATTGGGGACGACGATGACATTTGTTTACATTTTTATTTATTTTGCCGATATGTTTGTTGATTTTAGAGATCCCCGTGATTATGCTCAACAAAGGTGGTAGATCATTTATCAACCAAGTTTTAGAAAAAAATAGCATTCATAGAATTAGGGAATGTCCCGTGTATATATATGTTGACGTAATGTTTTTTTTTATTGAAAGCTGGTGCTGTCGGCAATCCAATGATCAAATTACTGCACAGGTACACACAAATACGTCGTTACACAGGTAGGCCAAGGTAGCTTATAATTAGTAGCCTGAATTTCCTCTGGCCCCGACACCAGATTTAGAGACATTTTGACAGATACTAATAAGCACCAGACATCTTACATATGTAGCTCGAGTTTCCTCTGGACACGTCACCAGACTTAAACATTTTGATAGATACTAATAAGCACCAGACATCTTAGCTCGAGTTTCCTCTGGACACGTCACCAGTAAGTAGCCTGAGTTTCCTCTGGCCCCGACACCAGACTTAGAGACATTTTGACAGATAGATGCATGTCTGGTGTCAGGACCAGAGGAAAGTCGGGCTACAGAAATCTATCTGATGAAATGTCTTATGTCTAGTGTCCAGAGGAAACTCGAGCTAAAAAGTTCAATAACAACCTATGACAAGGTCTGTGATGATATTTAACCCTTTCACCAGTGTAGACCATACTAGACTCGTCCATATCAATACATGGGAGAGTCTACTAAAGTTACTTAGGGGTGAAAGGGTTAAAGATCCTTGTACCACTGCCTATAATACTAAGTGTTGGTAACTGTTTTATACGCCATGACTGTAGTTTTGATTAATCATTTCAGAAAAGAAAACCATACTGTAACGGGATTTTATGGGAAAAAACAAAAATTTATATGGGAAAAACCCCCAGCAGAACTAGACTGGCTTCCAAAATCTGGGCTTGGGGATGTTATACCATCGCTCTAATAATAGGGGCCATGGTGGCCAAGTGGTTAAGGCGTCTGATATTCTGCTACCACTAGACCTCCACCACTGAGTTGTGGGTTTGAGATCTACGTGGGGCAGTTGCCAGGTATTGGCTGTAGGTCGGTGGGTTTTCTCTGGGAGCTCAGGCTTTCCTCCACCACCAAAACCTGGCACATCCTCAAATGACCATAGCTGTTAATAGGACGGAAAACACAAACAAACCATCACTCTAATTAACCAATGGAACTAGCTGGTCAGCGGAAGTGTCCTTGCCAAACTGTGCTACAGTTACATCTAAACGGAAGTTAAGGAGAGGTTACTGTATATAGGAAAATCCACAGTGAAGTAGGACAGGGACGGAAGTTAAGGGGAGGTTACTGTATATAGGGAAATCCACAGTGAAGTAGGACAGGGATACTTAAGGTTGTTAAGTGGAGGTTACTGTATATAGGGAAATCCACAGTGAAGTAGGACAGGGATACTTAAGGTTGTTAAGTG